CTCTCTCTCTCTCTCTCTCTCTCTCTCTCTCTCTCTCACACACACACACACACACACACACACACACACACACAGTTTCGCAAAAGATACTTCTTGAACTGTATCCCAAAAAGCACAGGGGAAGCTTCAAACTGAAGGGTCTATACTAGTTCGACACTTCGGATACGTCCGTAACACGAAATGTTGTGGGTGACTATACGGTGCTTGTCTTTTCCATCTCTCAGCCCTCTGGCGTGCTAATATGTCATTTCTTGCGGGCTTCCTCTCTGTCAATCTCCTGTGATCTCGGATATATCTGAACTTCGCTTATCTGGGAAAATCACATTGCCTTGCTGCTTTTCTGCAACGATAGTCTGAAATGCTTTTAAAAGCGAGGCTGATGATCTCCGCGTGTGCTCGACCCTGCGCCGTCCGTGCGGCGTCTCGAGAAAATTAAGTACAGTCTCTCTGAGACACTCTGTCTCTCGCTCTTTCTATCTCTCTCTCTTTTTCTATATATTTCGCTCTTCAAATGTACACGACCATTTCTTGCGGACTTCCTCTGTCTTTCTATCTCCTGTGATCTCGGATACATCCGAGCTTCGCTTATCTTGGAGATTCACATTACCTTGCTGCTCTCCTACAACAATCGTGTGAAATGCTTTAAAAAACGAGGCTGATGGTCTACGCGTGTGCTCGACCCTGCGTCTCCTGAAAATTAAGTACAGTCTTTCTAAGACTCTCTGTCTCTCGCTCTTTCTGTCTCTCTCTCTCTCGCTCTTTCTGTCTCTCTCTCTCTCGTTCTTTCTGTCTCTCTCTCTCTTTCTATCTCTCTCGCTCTATACATGTACACGATCATCGGTGCAGAACTCCAATTCATTATGGTCCTCACACTTTTAAATACAGGTCATCCTACTCCTCTAAGTCTGTGAAGAGCCACAACTCGTTTTACTCACAAACTCGAGTTTGTGTCATTATACTGTTCTGATTCGGATGAGTGGGATGCTCAACTCCAAGTGAAACTATGACACAGTGTAATATATTACTCTGTTCTGGTGTTCCACATCTGGATACAGGAGATATATGTACTGAGGCAGCAGTATATATAATACAGTGGTAGCAGATATATGTACTGACTCAGAGGCGTATAACACAGTGTATACTCTGCTGTGGTGTTCCACATCTGGACAGATCCGAACCACGAGAAGAGCGCAGCAGATATATGTACTGACTGTGCTCCTCGCCTCAATGTTGCTTTACTCCTTGTTCGGATGTATCCGGATTTGGAATACTACACCAAACTATACACTGTGTCATATAGTACACACAATAATGTACTGTTTTAACGAATAACATGTTGTGATCTTCCCAACACCGAAAAACCCTATATATTTGAGCCACCTCTTTGTCTTGGAATGTCATCCAAACTTCTCTTTTCTTTTCATAGACGTCCAAGAACCTCTGCACACCCTCCAAACCATTTTTGTAATCGTCCAGGAGTTCCGACTGGACCGGCAGAGGGTCGAAAGGTTGTTGTGAACCTGCATAACCACCATCGTCTCTTTGTTTAAACCAATATAGAGGATCATCCTCGGGCAACCACTTCGCGTCTGTGCAATACTCTTTGTAGGACATGACGGGATTATCACCTGTCACGTAGAATTTTAGCAAATGAGGCTTAGAAATTCCTCTCATGCGCTTTTCGACATGTGGGGAAACGAGACCTCTAAAGTCCGCCATCCTATCAAGGAAAATGCACCATGGGGGTGTCTTATGAGACCGTTCTAACAAATCGAAAAGCTCGTCCATTGTGTACGCGTCGTTGTCTTTGAGTTTCTTGGAGAAAACACTGAAAGTGGCATCGACGTCAGTGTGAGTGTGGCCAACTATCATAATGTCGATTTCTATCTCTTTGAAATTCCCAAACTTCACGAGGAGTGCTGCCAACGCGCAGATGAATCTATTCTTGTTCTCTTTRAAGCAGTTGTCAGCTTGAATACGAAGAAAAGGCGGTAGTGGTTTTCCGCTGGATTGGATCTCAGTCAGGGTCCGCATTAAACACGTCGTCGTACTGTTAGGGTCTTGTCTGTAGTAGAAAAAATATGTGTAAACATATATAGATGGATCCCGGCCATGGACCAAAACGGCCCTGAGACCCGTCTTCATCATCCT